GCATGTTCTGCAAACTGCTCAACATGTGGAGAGACATCTCCCCACAACAGGTAAACCAGGTGTGATGTCACAGAGAACGGCAGATCGGCTGGCCTAAGCCATCCCAAGATGATAAACCCGTTTCACACACAGCAGCACCTTCTAACTCTCATCTTCACCAGCTTGGGGCTTCTGGCTGCCCTAAGTTAACCTGAGTGTGGACCAGCCACTCAGGGACACAGACCCTGCATGTGCAAGTGTAGCCAGAGGCTTCACAATCAGAATAGACCTGTTTTCTGTGGGCCACAGGCTTGCTGGGCCTCCTGGAGCAGAGTACTGGGGTGTCAGAACCAAGACTCCATAGTCCTGCCTCTCAGCCAGCCTTGGTGGGCTCCCCACTGCCCTTGGGAAAGGCCATGCACAGGCCATCTGCTGGTCTACAAAGAATTCCAACCTGGAGTCTCTCTCTTGCATTCCTAACTTGAAGCCCCTGTGCCCCTTGCTTACTAGGTGGCTGAGAAGGTGAAAAGATTTTTTTCAAAGTACTCCATGAACAGACACAAGATGACCACGCTCACGCCCGCATACCACGCCGAAAGTTACAGTCCTGATGACAACAGGTTTGACCTGCGGCCCTTCCTCTACAACACGACCTGGCCCTGGCAGTTCCGCTGCATTGACAGACACGTGAGTCCGTAGAGAACACAGAGGGTTACCTCTTCCTTCCCTGAGGAGAAAAATGTTTATGTGTACGATGGCATGTTAATGTCCTTACTTCAACAAAAGGACAGGTATGTTTAAAAGGTTTGGGGTTTTCTTTTTTAAACAAATTTTTTTTTAGTTAGGGCCTCAAGTAGCCCAGGCTGGCCTCAAACTCTCACTGTATAGCTGAGGCTGACCTTGAACTTCTGATCCTCCTGGCTGTACCCCACAAGTGCTGGGATGACAACGTGCACCACCACGCTCAGTTTATGTGGTGCTGGGAATGGAATCCTGGGCTTTGTGCACGCTAGGCAAACCCTCTACCTACTAAGCTACGCCCCCAGTCCTCAGGGTGTTTTATTGACGACATATGTATTCCTGGTGAACAGTGTGTACACTGTGGAGTGGATCAAGCTATTGAACGTGCACGTTGCCTCACTCTGTGTGGTATGTGGTAAGAAAAGTTAAACTGGGCTGGAGTGAAAAAAAAAAAAAGAATCAGGCTGGAGAGTGGCTCAGTGGTTAAGAACACTGGCTGCTCATGTGGAGGACCTGGGTTCAGTTCCCAGCACCCACTTGACAGCTCACAACCACCTGTAACTCCAGTTCCAGGGAATCTGATGCTGTCTTTTGACTTCCATGGGCACTGCACTTGTGTGTACATATCCACACACAGACATAGGCATAAACACACAACACATACACATGCACATAATTTAAAAATAAAATATTTTTAAAAGAAGAGTTAAAATCAATTCTTAGTGATTTTTTTCACATAGCACATTACTGGCCAGGAGCCACAGGTACAATGTTGAACATTCCTCCTAACCCCACACACCCTTTCTGTCCTGTGGTCCATAGCCCCCCTCCCCTTCCTCCTCCCAGGCTCTGCTCCAGGAACTCCTATACCTTTGGCTCCTGTGAACCCAACTTTTTTTCTTATTAAGAAGTTTTGTTCTTTGACAATTTCATACATGTATATAATGTATTCGAGTTACCCATGCCCAAATCTCTTATTTCCCTCCAACCCCTGCCAGCCCGCCTCCCTTCTTTACAAAACTCTTTTTTCTAGTTTCTTGTCTTTGTTTTGTTTAGTTCCCACAGAGTTTTGAGTTTTTTAAAACACTTCTTTTTGAAATTTTTATTTTTTGTGTATGAGTGTTATACCTGCAGGTACGTGCCCCAGGTAAGTGCACCCGTGCCATGCAATACCCACATAGGCCAGAAGAGGGCATCAGAGCCCCTGGAACTAGAGTTACAAGTGGTTGTTAGCTGCCATGTGGGTGCTGGGAACTGAACCCAGGTCCTCTGCAAGAGCAGCCAGTGCTCTTAACTGCCGACCCATCCCTCCAGCCCCCTACTTCCCACAGAGTTGGACTGCATAGCTTTGGGTTTGGAATGATCCATTGGCCTGCTGGGCTCACCACCGAGTACATGACAGGATGCTGTGCCTCCTGACTCCCAGAGTCTGTTAGTTGTCAACAGGGTGGCAGTAAGTGCTAGGGCCCCGTGAGCCCCTTCCTCTCATCAGCTTACTGGGAGGACTCTGAGCGTCCTCTAGAAGCATCTGTTTGTCACAATGACCTTCCTATTTTCAAGGCTCAACACTCTTCCCTCTTCCACTGTGTATATACAGCCGTTTTCTATGCCTGTCCATCATTTGGTGAACACTTGGATTGCTTCATCCCTCGGCCATGGTGAGCAGCACTGCAGTTTGTCAAGGGAGTCAGGCTGTTCCTTGATACACCTGTTTCAGTTCCTTTGAACTGAAATAGGAGTGCCAGGTCCCAGGGCAGTTTTTTTATTTTCCTTTTTTTTTCCTTATTTTATCTCTTTGAGACAGGTCTCCCTGTAGCCCCAGCTGTCCTGGAACTCACTGTGTAGACCAGGCTGGCCTTGAACTCACAGAGATCCACCTGCCTCTGCCTCATGAGTGCTGAGACTAAAGGTGTGTGCCACCATGCCTGGCTGTTTTTTCATTTCTTAATAGTCTATCATGGCTGTCCTAATTTATGAGCATGTTGTGTTAGGTACTTTTCTTGTGCTGTGATAAAATACCTGAGGAAAGAAACTTAAGGAAGGAAGGTTTGTTTGGCTCATGGTTTGAGGACACAGTCCATCATGGCAGGGAAGGCACAGCACAGTGGCAGCAGTGTGAGGCGGCTGGTCACATGGCACCCACAGTCAGGAAGCAGAGACCCCAGTTCATGGGATGGTGCCCCCCCGTGTTCAGGTGGGTCTTCCCTCCTCAATTAACCTAATCTAGAAACTCTCACGGACATGCCCCGAGGTGTGTCTCCTGGGTGATTCTAGGTCCTGTCAGGTTGACCATCTCTATTAACTGTCACATGTTTAAAGTGCTGTCTCTGCATGGACTCTGTTTACTGGCCTCACATGTACTGAGGTTAGAGGCTCCGCACCATGAGTTGGGAATCTGGTGCCAAGTGCTGTTCAGCCTAAACAGCTGGTGTACCCAGAGAACTTTCTGTTTTTCTCTTGGACATCTTGATCTTTTCCACTCATAACCTCTTTTGTCTGAGGGGAAAAAAATGATCTCTTTTGAGACCAGGTCTCACTATATAGCCCTGGCTAGCCTAGAATGTGCTATATAAAGCAAGCTGGCCTCAAACTCACAGAGATCCACCTGCCTCTGCCTCCCAGATACTGAGTTACAACCATAAGTCACTGCAACCACTGTTCTCAGCCTCTTTCTGATTGGTTAATAATTAAGGAAAAGAACTCAGAAGACCTAGGAAGGTCGACTTTTAAGAGCAGGTTTAGGCCAGGCGGGCATGGTGGCACACGCCTTTAATCCCAGCACTTGGGAGGCAGAGGCAGGGAGATCTCTGTGAGTTCAAGGCCAGCCTGGTCTACATAGTGAGTTCTAGGCCAGCTGAGGCTACAGGGAGACCCCGTCTCAAAAAAAAAACAAAAAAACAAAAAAAACAAAACAGGTTTAGTTCCCTGCTCCTTCCCTTTCTTGAAGCCCTAGTGGGAGTGGGAACACCTACCAAAAACAAGTTAGATGCAGTTTCTTTCCGGAAGGGAGCTTGTGGTGGTTTCAATGAAAATGCCCCCAGTGGCTCTAGTATTTGGACATTTTGTCACCAGATGGTGGCACTGTTTTGGGAAGTCTTAGAAGCTGTGGCTATCCTGGAAGCATGTCACTGGGGGGTGGGCTTAGAGAGTTCTTAAGCCTTGCCAGATCTCCAGTTGCTCTCTTGCCTCCTGTGCCTGCGTGATGATATGAAAGCTTAGGTTCTGCTGCTCCTGCTCCAGCCACCTCCAGCCACCATACCTCCCTGCCATGATGGACTGTAATTCCCCTAGAACCATAAGCTCAAATAAACTCTTCCTTCTATAAAACTGCTTGGGTCAGTGTTTCTATCACAGCAACAGAAAAGTGACTAATACCCAGCTGTTCTGCTGGAAAGAGTGAGCCAGGCCCTCCGCACAGGGGCACATTTAAAGATGGAAGACCATGACCAGTGCTCTGAGCTACAGACCCCCAGGGACCAGAAGGGACCTCAGGCAGTGCCACAGACCCATGAGCTGCTAGGGTGAGTGCTGACCCACTAGGTCTGGAGATTCCCAGGCACTGAGTGTCCGAAGTGGTCATCACACCTGGGCTGGGCTCAGTAACACTGGAATCTCAAAGAGGAGGTGGTGATGCCACCAGCCGGGTCCCCTGCCCCTGACACTCCCATTAGTCAGTGGTGCCAAGGCCAAGGAAGGCCAATGAGGGGATGAATAGTCTTCTGGGCTTCCTGTTGTGTCCAGATGACTTTGGGAACTTCTCCCCACAGTAACTCGGGGGACTTGTAGAAGTTGGAGGTAGATAAGAGAGGGCAGGGTGGTGGCCTCTGGGCAACCAAGATGTGGGTCAGGATGCCACTGCTCTGTGTCCCCACTGTGGCTGGGCAGAGCATGTACCCTGCATGGCTGATACCCACATGTCCTGTCTTTGCATCCCGCTGTCATTGGATCATTGGATTGATGCTGACCAGGGCTTGGTTCCCACCCAGACCCACTGTCACTAGATCATAGGAATGGCTTTTTGGGTGATGACCAGGGCTTGGCCCCCACCCAGACCCACTTGGCAGCAGTTCCCACAGATTGGCAAGGGATTTTGATGCTGTGTGGCGGAGACAGCAGTGGCCTGAAGGCGGGCGGGCAGAGGTAGAAACACCTGGAGTCTTGCCATCCACAGTGGCCATCTTGAACCCTGTGCCAAGGCTTTCCCCTATACCCTCTGTGCTCCGTCCCTGACTGGGCCTGGCTATCGGGGAGGGGTCTGAATTTTAGCAGCTGGATTATTGAATTCTGATGGAGATGGTTCTGATGGGCTTTCTCTCTCTCCAGGTTGTGCAGCTTGAAAAGAAAGAATACGACAATCTGGCTGACATGATCCAGGACCTAGACGGTTTGTCACTGCCTACATGGAAGCTGCTCAGCCCCAGGGATTCCAGCTAGTGGCCCCACCACTCCCAGTCAGCAAGTTCACAGCAACCCAGGTCTGGTTTCTCCTTTCAAGGGAGAGAGACATTTTTCATGTTGATTCTGTAAAAAGAAGCTAAAATAAAGCAAACATGGCCTTTTAAAATAAAGATTTGCTTATGTGTGTATCTCTGTGTGTATGTGTGCACATGTATGTGCAGTGCTCATGGAGGCCAGAAGAAGGCATTGAAGCCCCTGGAGCTGGAAATATGGGCAGTGCCTGATGTGGGTGCTGGGAACTAACTACAGTCCTCTGCAAGCACAGGATGTGCTCTTAACCACTGAGCAATCACTACACCTCAGCACATGCTCTTCAGTACTGCTAAGAAGCAGGGCGTTCTGCAGAGGTTTCAGCTGTGGATGCAGCCGTCTTGGATTAGGCGATGCCTCTGTGCAGGGCTGGGAGGGACATCCTGGGCAGGTGAGAAACCCTCCTCTCCCACTCAATCTGCCTCTCTGTCCTGGGTTCCTGAGGATCCCTGGATGGTCCTGCCTAGATTTCTTGTTCTGGATCCCTGTCCAAGTATAGAGTAAGGGGCAACCACCCCTTTCCCTCCACGAAGCTCCCTGCATCTGGGACCTCCTTTCCAGGCTGAGCCCCAGGGTGCCTGAGCCTCACAACCATGCAGGGTAAAACAGGCTGAGGCAGTAAATGAGACTCGGGACAGGGTGGTGGGCAGCTGAGGTCTGCTGTTTACCCAGCCCAGTCCTGGTCCCAGGGTACCGTGGCCTCTGCCCCTCACCCTCATTCTCAGCATTTTTAACACACTCTCCAGTTCTGTCCAAAACAGATTATGTAATTCCCTTGGTTACAGCTCAATACAACACTTATGTAGCCTGGGCATGGTGGTGCATTCCTTTTCTCCCAGCACTCGGGAGGCAGAGGTAGGTGGATCCAGCCTGTGGGTCTGAGGCCAGCTTGGTCTACATATAGAGTTCAGGTTGGCCAGGAGCACACAGTGACACTCCTCTAACTTGGCTTGGCTTTTGTGGATAGCGCAGAAGTCAACACCAGCAAGCAGGTCACTGTTTTTTTTTTTGGGGGGGGGGGGGGTCTTTTTTAGAAAGGGTCTCCCTGTCGTCCCCGTTGCCCTGGAATCTACTTTGGAGATTAGGCTGGCCTTGAACTCACAGAGATCGCCTGCTTCTGCCTCCCAAGTGCTGGGATTAAAGGCATGCGCCACCACGCCCAGCCTAAGGTCACTGTTTTTATTAGATACTTTCTCATCGCTGTGACCAAATTACCTGACACAAGATGATAAGGAAAAGTCATAGTCTTACAACTTTCTGTATTCGTATATAACCTTTCAAGCTTAGACTATGTTGAAGTTTCCTTTGTTTAACTTACTGGGCAGGTACATTGAAATGCAACCCCAGGATGCCCAGAGATGTTTTACTGCTTTGTGGTGGTTGCCCTACTGAGATGCTTTGTTACTCTGTACAGTCTTAAAGCTCCGTGATGCTTCCCCTTGCTATGTCTGACTGTAAAGATGTGAAAGAATGGAAAGTTCACCAAATACTTTGAGGTATCTGGTCCAAACAGTCCAAGAAAGGTGTAGACCAAAGGTGTCAGAAATCTAAACTTCTGCCAGTGATACTTATTTTTGTAAACTTCAATGACCATTTGACCAATTCCTAGACCAATTAGCCTGACCTACTATAGACCAGAAGGCAGCAGATGTCCTGATCCACTCCTGAGATATCTACTTTGTAAACTATGATAACCAAGAGAACTCAGGAAGAAAGTTTCCTGAGATAACATGGCCTATCATGAAAAGATACATAGGGCCCAGGTGTCAATCATGACATAAGAATTCCTGTTTAGCCAGGCGTGGTGGTACACACCTTTAATCCCAGCACTCAGGAAGCAGAGGCAGGTGGATCTCTGTGAGTTTGAAGCCAGCCTGGTCTCCATAGTGAATCCAAGAGAGCTGGGGCTATAGGGAGACCCTGTCTCAAAACGACCAAAAAAAAAAAAAAAAAACCCTGTTTAACCCCATCTGTATTTCTGTTCAGGGCCCAGAAAAAATCTAAAAGGCTTAGTTGCTGACTCCAGGACCTCGTGCTTGGAAAGAGAATAATCAAGCTTTCTGACTCTCTCCTGGGCGAATGCTGGGTCTCTTAGCTGTTTGAAGAATTTGTCTGTAACAATAGGAAACTCAGGGAAGAAAGCTTTTTTTGGCTCACCTTTTCAGAGGATTCATGGCAGGGAAGGCATAGGGGGAGGAGTTCAGCTTGTGTCAACAGGAGCGTGTGGTAGGGTCTGCTAATACCTATCAAAGGCTACCATGAACACGCTGTGTCAGAAACATAAACACAGTTGTATCTTCCCACTGCTCCAGCTTCTTCCATTCTGAACAAGGATGCAGGGTGAGGCAACTGGAGTATCCCTTCAGTGGGTCTATCTAAGTCTCTCAAATTGCATAGTTCTTATCTCTAGGCCGAAAAGAAAGTCCTTGAATCATGAATAGGAGATGTGAAGGAGAAGTAAAGGCAAGAGGAATTAGCATTACAAGTTCTAGACGGAATTCTAGAAAAAAGAACAGGGCAGTTTTCAAATGTTCATATGAGAGTCCATTGGAATTTCTTGACAAGGGCTTCTAAAAGCATCCCTCTATTGGGTTCCTCATTTTTCTTTTGTCTTCCAAGGCTGGACTCTAGAGTGATGGATTCAGGATTTGCTTTCAGGTATTTTGATAGCTGTTGGAGTGGTTAGAGTCAGTGTCAGTTCCCTCTCAAAGGCTTCTAGATAGGATCAGAAAACAAAATTATCCATCATTTTAGAACAATAGCTGGTTGTCTCCCTTAGCTATGGGTGGGCACTACAGTATTGGAGACCAAGATTTGAAGTCTGACGTCTGAGCAGCACTATCTGGTTAGGAACAAATC